GTACTTTTCCTTTGTTTAAGGGTATTTGGGCAGTTTATTCTCTGTTATATTCTCAAGTAAACAATACATACAAGTACAGTACAGTATTTTCTGAGGAAACACTCGTACTTATTTTTTTTAACCCCATTCCCGATAACCCGGCATTTTCACAAACTCGGCCACCCTTCGGTCCACATTAGGCCGAGTTTTCGAGGTTCTACTGTAATTTTTAAACTTATGATCTACATAAAATTATTAAAAATGATAGCAAGCAGTGTTTATATCAGTACTATTAGTTTAATTTTGATCATTAGATATACAAACAAACAACCCAATAATTATTACAGTAGAGCATCGATTATCCGAACCCCGATCAACCGTCACATCGGTTAACCAACCGCATTCTAGTTGGCAAATTCAAATGCCCACTGGTGATGTGGCGCTACAATATTTGGCTGTCTTGGCTACTTTAATATTATTTTGTTAAATTTTTGCATGTTTTAGCTGGCAACACTGGCTCGACCATGAAAGGGAGGCCAGTATTTAAACTAGGCTTAATTTTCTAAATATGAGTTTTATAAGTATGAATTGTTTGTTTTGTGAGCAATAGAATAATTTAAAAATAATCTTTAATGATATAATAGTGACGATTATCATTTTTTTTTAAATTTTTGTTAGGCTTAACATCGATGAAAATTCAATGCAAAGTAGGTTAATAGCGATATACTAATATACTATACTAATAATGTATTTTTTCATACTTTTCGGTTATCCATTTTTTCAGTTATCCGACCTACCCCAGTCCACAATTGAGTCGGATAATCAATGCTCTACTGTATTAATCAAATGTTACAGTCAGATTCTTATGGGGGTTACTATAAAGCAAATTAATTAATCTGATAGTAAGCAAAATCTGACTGGAGATAGGTGGTGCAAACACAAACATTTTCGATCTGCACAGGAGATCTTCAGGTTAAAATGTTTTCAAATGGAATTTGGAAACAGAACATTCTTAAGATTATTTTTTTCAAATGATCTTAAGAATGTTGTATTTCCACATTCCATTTGAAAACATTTTAACCTGAAGATTTCCTGTGCAGATCAAAAACGTTTGCATTTGCATTAAAATATCCTGGAATTTTTTAATGTTCAGCGGTGTGCTGTTTTTTTATGATATATATTCCAGTCTTACAGTGTTTGATCTAGAGATAGGTGGTTAAGCCTTGACATCTTGTGTTAAATTAAAAATAAATAAATTTAATTTAGAATATTCTGAAAGAAAAAAAGTCAGCCCATAACAGAACTCAAATTTGCAATGCATCTACACAGCAATGAGTTCAATTAATATATTTTAATTATTAAATTTAACACAAGATGGTAATTTAAGTGCTTATCTCTAGTCCAAATTGATTAATATTGGTATTATGAGAATCCAGCAGTAAGTTTTCATTTTTATCATAAAGATGAAACTGATAGTTGATTATAATAGTTTATGGAATATTTACATATTTATGAAATATCTTCTTATGAATTATAAATATATTTCATAAGAATATATTTAAAACTCAGATCATAACTGTGTTAAGTTTTAATTAAAGAAGCCATTTATTCAAAACAGTTAAAATTTTTGCCTATGTATTTTACAAATAAGATAAATTATTGCAAAGGAATATATTTTTAATATGTAAACATTACATGAACATATTACAGAAATCAATTTTATGAATTGAATATTAAATAAAATTATCTTCTCTGAAGTACTGTAAATTATACCTTGATTCATTGGACAACTGTCAATTTCTTCGGGTGTCTTCTCCTCAGTATTATCTCTGCTAGTGAAACGTGAAGTTTCTACCTAAAAATAAAATTAATTTTTAAATAATAAATACAGTAGAGCGTCGTTTATCTGAAAACTGGTTATCCGAAAGCATTTCAGTCGGTAAATTTAAATTTTCGCTAGTGCTGTGGTGCTGCAATCTTTGGCTATATCTTGGGCTACTCCAATATTTTTTTTGTTGGTGTGTGTTTTTTAGCTGGCAGCACTGGCACTTTTGTGTGGTGTTTTNGTTTAATGGCGTTTAAACAGTGACATAACTAGAAATTTCAGTCTCTTAAGCAAAATATGGTAAAGAGCTCTTCACATTGCCGATAGTATCCACAAGTTTCCAGAGAGTTCATGCATTTTCCCTTGGTGTAGCGCCACCGTCGCGCCGCCATAAAGATACTGCAAGAACTACCGTTTACGGCAGAACTATACAATTAAGAATATAATTGATTTTGAAATGAATAATAGAAATTAGTTTATGATGCCCACTTTGTTAGTAATTGTAAGGGGTTTTATGTTTTAAAATTATAAATAAAATATGTATTTTCAATCGTTTTTACAAAAGTTTAATTTTTTCCAACGTAAAGAAAAAAAGCGTGCTACATGGTTCGCGAGGAAATATCTTTTAAAGCTAATAAAAATTTAAATTAAGAAAACCTAAATCATATTTTTTATCTATTTTTTTTTTATCTCTAGAAACTAATTGGCAAAATTGGCTTCTGTAATTTTACTAATATTCCACTGTTATTATCTGTCAGGAAATATTTATATCGCCGTTTAATTCATAAAGTAGACCAAAATATTCATGGAATATCATAGAATTAAGTCTAATGCAAAATTTTCGGATTTTTGTATAGTTTTTTTGACAAACTTGTATTCTCTAATTTATTTTCAGATGGACAGTCATTTTCATCAATCGGTACTACAAAATCGTAGAACGAGAGAATGACAACCTTTAAAATATCCAGCTATATTTGAATATCTTATTAAAAATAAAGCCTATGATTTCCAAAAAATGCTTAATTCTTTCTTGTCTTTAAAGTCTTGAGTCTTATAATTATTTTTCATGTGGTAAAATTTTAATTAATAGTCACAAAAAACTTGTGTCCTTAAGACAACTGTACAGCCTATCTGCAAATAATCATTCTGTGTGGACTTGTGTCTTATGATGGCAAATATATTTATCTAGCTGGATGTGTAGTACCTGTACATCTGGTTACCCATTATCTTCTTAAATTTTTATCACGTGGAAATGAATGTAACTAGAACGGTTCAATAAATACATGGACATCTCGATGCATGTTTTCATGTACTGTACAGTACATTGCGTACAGCTTCAAACCACTTATAAACAACTCTCTAGCTATTATGGCAGCCAATTACTGCACAATGTTAATCTGAACTGGTTTTATAAAGCATGTCACCAATGAAAAACTAAAAAGTGTAGACCTAAGCTAACACCTAGCAATATCCAATGACTGCAGAGACATAACGTCCTTGTGTGGCAGAATTCAAAAACACGTTCTGGAAATTTGTGGATACAAATTTAAACAAAATTTTTAAATCGTTACAAACTATTATAGGTAAGCAATATTAAAAAATTCTTTTGTTATAACCAAATATAATATCGAACAAAAAAAAGAAAAAAATATTTAAAGTCCATAATGTTTACAGCCAATATTTTGAAAGGAAAAATTGACCAACTAAAGCAATGTTCACTAATCACAAGCAACTCATATGGTTATGAATCTGAATTGTTCTGGGAAGTTTTGATTTTGTGGAACAATCCTGAAATACTCGTGATATGAAATATAAATGAATATTTATTAAGCTTTATGATGTTAAATTTGTTAAGTCCGGTCTGATAGAAAATATTAATAATTGAACATTAACTATTTTTTTAATCAACATATACAGGTACAATGCCCTGCACTGGGGATATTACCGAACTGACAATGAATTAAATCTGATCGGCACATCGATCCTTATGTAATATCGAAACGAGGATGAGTTATTTTAAATATCTTGTATAAGTAATGCCATTTGGACGTATAGGATTGCGTTTTTTTTTTTTTTTTTAAACTGCAGAGTTCAGAATTTTCCAGAAAAACAATAAATGAAATGTAATCGATATAGTCTGACTTCGTATTTTATTTTAGCATTCAAGAATAACGCTAGATTATTTGATTTACTTTTTCTTATTCGTGTGGCAGTTATTTTCGATTCTCGTGAATAGTGAATTGAAATCTTGTTAAAGGAAATTGAAAATGTGTGTATAAATTTAATACTTACACACATTTTTAATTGAAATATATATATAATAAATAACTTCAGAAAATACACAAGCATATTACAATTTAAACTTTATTATATATGCAGTTTTAAAATAGAAAATCATCTTAAAAAAGATTTCATCAAAAGCAGTTTCATAGTTATTTTTGTCGAGTCTAGAATGATGCCAAACCGGATTACAATATTTTAAATAATTATGCAAAATTATACTTTGATACATTAAGATATTTTTTATTGCACAAATTGAACTTCATTTATAAACAGTTAAATTCATTAATACAGCAGCAGTTAAATATTCTATTTATTTCATGAATTACAATTGGTTTTCTAAAGAAATGGACCCTTCATCTGCAATATCTCAATATTTTACAATTAATAAAATTATTCTAAGTATCAACTTTTAAGAACAAAAATACAATATGTACAATTAATTTTTCATAATTTACATTTATTTTATAGAATTATATTAGAATTGAATTTTAATTTGTTTTCTTCTGTAATATTGTGACTAATCTTTCTTTCCATTCATCTTCTGGAATGTTGAATGCCCAATTTGGGACTGAAGAACATGGTAGAGTGAATCCAGCCATTGCTTGCTTTATTTTATCAACTCGTTCTGAAAAAATACACAAAATAAAAGGTACCAGCTCACATTATTTTCACACTATGTAATCAATTTCATTCACCATACAGTAAAATTTATCATTTTTATAATTCCATAAACAATTATTATTATTATTATTATTATTATTTTAGGTTTAGTAGGTAATACTCGGTTTAAACCGGTGGCTGTGTACTATGCCGGACCAGAGTCAAGGCATAGCAACCAAAACAAAACTAAAATTAAATGTGTGTGTCAGTGTCTGTATTAAGGAATTTCCTAACAATATGGCATGTATTCAATATAGTGGCCTTCTGTAGTGTGATGTATGTATTTCTACTCAATTGTAATGTTCCCAGGCTTTTGTGTAGCATGTGTGGTATCACACCTGTACAGGAGAGAAC